ACTACAATTATTAAACTTACTTTTAAAATACAAATTCACTGTTTAAAAACAGCAGGTGTGACAGTTGCACAAAACCGTCACAGTGAGACATTAAAACGATACAAGAACTACCATGCCATGAAGTTTACAGTTCCAATATTATACTATTGACACTAACATTCATTTGCTGGAACTATCAAAACCAAAGATGACTATTACTAGGGACTATTTCTCAAAGATATGAGAACTTGGATCATATCTCATTCTATATTGCCAAAACTACCAAAACTTCATTTCTTTTGTGACAGACTCATCCAAAAACAGGCACAAAGTTTCAACTGCAAATTTTCATCTGAACTGGCAATGTTTATTGCTCCACCAAGGCTGGATATGTCAACACCTCTCAAAAACAACAGAAACCAAAAGACAAGTCTTGTCTACTGCTGCACATAGCTCCAGGTGAGTAGTGTAAATATACACGAGGGGAGAACTGGGCTCTTAATTTAGTAAGGAGAACCAAGGAATTCATTTACATCTACACATGCAGAATTCTTATTCTGAACACCTACATCTTGAAACCCAAACCAGATTTTCTGATAATGCAAATTACCAATAATGGCACAGGGCTGGTCTGAAGGGCCTGGTGACTGTTAAGTTTAAAATTAAAAACTACTTAAAAATCAAAGTATAAAACTTATTTAAGAGAGAATAAAACTACTTAATCGTATTCAGGAAAGGTATAAAAAAAAAATAACCTTTATCACCACGTCAATGGAGCGTATCTTTCAATTGCAACACTGGAACATTCACTATAGCTTAAAAAGGAGAGATATTAAGAATTCAAATCTCTCTTTAAAGTGTAAGCACCTAAGCACCCACAGTTTTCTAACTGTTATGTAAATGGATAGACAGATACTGTATCTCCCCAGAAAACAAAAAGGATACACTTAAGAACATCAGGGTTTCTTTTTCACCTATATGAAGAATGATGCTAGTCTGTAATATTTATCATTTTAGGACAGTTTTAACATGTTCTCTAACCAGAGTTCTTTTACTAAAAACAAAAACCAAACAAACTCATTACCTTTATCTACTGTAAAGTTAGGAGTGGGACTTATGTTGTTTGTAAGAATTTTAGTTTTGTATGCCTTTTGGATTCCCATCTTTACGTCTGGTATAGTCAACCAGGTAGACTCCTGAAGCCATCTGCCTATAGTTCACTTTTATTTAAATGTTACATTGCCCCTTTCCTACTAATGGAAGAAAACAGCTCAGTCTTCCAACTGGTCAGAAATCCTAAAGATCCTCCTATTTATGTATCAATTACACCTGCATTTATTATAGCACCAAATATTTTAATTATTGCTTTTTAGCAGACTATTAGAAAACAATTAAACAATACAATTTAGTATATAAGGAATTAATGTTTTAATTTATCACCTTCACAAGTTTTTAAACACTATCAATCACTGAGAATTTTTTAACTGCAACTGAAGTATACATTGACAAAATGGCTTCCCCAAGGTACAAACGATTAGGGGTAGACCAAGAGATGCTACCCAGAGTCCTCACTTCTTCCACCATCGGGTACTATTTCCTTCAGAAGATAATCTAAAATGAGAGAATAAGAAGTTGCCTGCAGGGAATGACCTACCATTCACTCCAATGTGGTATTTTTGAAGACACATTCAGCAATGGCTGACCTGACAACTCCAAAACATTATAGTATGTTCCTCACCTAAGCCTCACCTGATAGAGCCAAGAACCCTTCTCCCATCCTTTCCCATATTCTACATTATAGATGTTAATAATATGTCTGGTACTTCAAACAATAAATTCCTTCTTTGTTTGCAGAATCTATTTGGAATTCTACTTGAGGTAGAAATTCACGACCTGAAACCTCATAAAATTTCTTTAGAAATCACTCTGAATATTTTATATAGCTATTGTTCCTATCTTTGAGTTTTATTTCCTCCTAAATGAATACCTAATAAAGTAAAATTATCTCAACACATTTACTTCTGTGTTCAAGATCAACTTGAATTATCATCCTACATGGAAAATGAACAGATCTCTCATGCACAAGTTCATACGATACAACGCGGTTGTTACGGCAGCAGAGATTTAGAACTCCTCTAGGACAAGCACTATGAGATTTTACCTTCACCACATGATATTGGTTGTGCTTTCCCTGATCCTACCATAATACATTTATATTATACCATTCATTTGCAGAACACTTTATAAAAGCATCTATAAGATATGTCTCACTCACACATGACAACAGTTCATGAATAGAAGTAATTACAGGAAATGAAACGTGAGGGGGCTTACTTTGAAGAAATTTACTTCAAAGAGGAGGAAAATGTCAGACAATGACTAAATTTGTTTCAGAAAGAGTAAGAGAGCACAGTGAGCAGCTCAGATAAAGAGTAAAGCAAAGCAATCATATTCATACACAAATTACAAACTCCAACACTTACTTGTATTATTGAGTTTTTCGTGACAGCATCTAAAACCCAATTAAGGGTAACATCTCACACTGCCAGCCTCCTGCATAAACCATAGGAAACAGTTCTAAAAACCTTATATACAGACTGATCACACAAAAGACAAAAACTATACAGAAAAAACACACCTAAATATTTTGTTATATATTATTTTCATGACTACCTTAGTTAAACCTTAATATCAAAACCAAAGACATGTGGAGCTGCAAACAGATTGAGAGAAGAAACTTGATGGAAAAGGAAATGAAGAACTGGAAATGAAAACTCAGATGGCAGCTGAAGCCTGTAAGGTTTAAGTACCATCATAAACTAAGCAAGTGAAGTTTAAGTGGTTGCAAATGCCTCCAGGATACCTTAAATCAGAATTATAAAATATGTGTATTTCTACAAGGTGGGATACTCAATTTAGCACACAGTGATAGAAAGCACTGGACTGGACTAACATTGTTGATAATCACATTTTACTTCTTTTTACTAACACAAATGGCTTATGATGACACACAATTACTCAGAGATATTAGTGAAGAGGCATGACGACAGAAGGCTATTTTCAAGTCCCTATATTAGTCTTTCCCTGTTATATATACACTATTAACTGTTAATTGCATGAGTAGCAATTGGGAGAAAACAAACTATGCAAAAAACTCCTGTTTTCATTAAAAATTTAAATCAGATCAAGCAAAATGAAACCACAGTCCATGACTTTTGGGTATGAGTCTGAAGGCTCCAGCTCTTCTTACAATGCAGTGGTTGAATCATCTAAGAAATAATATACTTTGGACTACTTGTACCTGCAATGACTTTGTGGGCTCATCTCTCAATGAAGAACATGCTTCCGCTCAGTGCTGAAGCACTGTAAACACCTCTAAAATAGCGTCATTTACTTCCAGGGGTTGCAAATAACCTCTGCCGAGAGCTGCCCAGTCCCTGACTGTCAACTTTGATACCCAAGGGTGCCAGATGCTTTATCGGCGCTTCTGCAAGCATCTTTAGCCACCAGAGACAGGACTAACCAGGCCCCATCCGACCTCCCTAAACCCTTACTGTGCCTCTCACACTGCCGTTTCAGAAATATCAACACTGGTAGGAAGACCTCGCTGCAAGCGACCTGACAGCGATGGGAGGTGAGAGCACGGATGTGTGTAACCACGACCCCAAAACGCCGGCCCCGCGCCCCTCACTCCCCTGAAGGCCCCGCCAGACTCCACAACCCCGCTCCCGCCGGCCTGAGGGCCCCCGCTCCCCTCAGCGATGCCTCCCGCCCCCTCCTACCCTTCAACCGGCTCCTTTCCGCGCTGTTTCACCCACCCGAGCCAGCCCCGAGCCCCCCCCAAACCAGCGACCACCCCGCCCGCTGCCCCCTCGGCCCGGCTCCCCTCAGCCGCGAGACTCCGCCCCTTCCCCTCCAAGCCCCGCCCCTCGCCGCGCGGCCCCGCTTAGTCACCCCAAACCGCCGCGCACAGAGGCCCCTCCCCGTCCCGTCCCGCCACCTAGGCAACCGCTGCTAGGCAACCGCCGCGACACACCCGCCCCCCGGGAGACGGCGAGCCGTAAGGCCCCACCGCCCTCCCTCAAAACGCCGCAACCGTCCCCCTTCTCCTCTCCCCCTGTCGCAAAGCCCTACCCCCGCGCGCCTTTACGGCAAGGAGCGGGGTGGGGGGGGACGAGCCGTGGGCGGAGCCGCCGCCAGCCCGCCGCCCAATCCGCCGTGGCGGCGGCGCGCGGTTGGGGGCGGGCCCAGCGCGGCGGCAGCGGATTGGCGGCGGCGGAGGTCAGTCCCTGCCCGCTGACCCCGACAGCGAGCCGGGAGGGGGGGGCGGGGGGGGGGGCTCGGTGCAAAGTGTCCCCACACGGCTCGGCCCCCTCCCGCCGCCGGCTCCGCCGCTCCCCCCGCCCCGCCGCTGCTGCCAGCGCGGGGGGCGGCCGCACACGGCTGCGCGCCGGCTCCCCCAGCACCCCCGGCAGGTAACGGCGGCGGAGCCCCGAGACTCCCTTATGGAGGGAGAGGGAGGGGGGAAAAGGAAAGGGGAAGCGCAGCGGGGTGAGGGAAGGGAGGCGGGGGGGGGACCGCGACCCCACGGCCCCGCCGCGGGGCCTCCGCTGCCCGGCGGCTCCTCCGGCGGGGCTCGCCGCCGGCCTGCTCCGCCCCGCTCCCCGTCAGCGCGCTGGGAGGGGGCTCCCCCCCCCCCGCCTCGCCACCCCCAACCTCAGGAAGGGGGTGTGCACCCCCCCACCCCCGGCTCCGCCCGCGGCGGGTGGGCAGGCAGGCTTCGGGGGGGGGCACCGGGCCCGCCGCCGCCGGGCTCCCGGGGCAGCCTGCGGAGAGGAGAGGGGGAGGTTCCCCGGGCGGGGGAAGCCTCCGGCCCCCCCGGAGCGCGTCCCCCGCTTCCCCAGCCCCCGGCGGCGCCCCGGCTTTGCCTTCCCCGCCGCCGCCGGGCCTTGAAACTCTGCGGCGGGGCTTGGTCGAATATATATTTGTGTGTGTGTGTGTGTGTGTGTGTGTGTATGTGTGCGCTTGACGGTTCCTGAAGCATGAACTCCTGCAAGGGACTGATTTTGATTTCCCAGCCGCTCTGCTTTCTGTGTTACTTCCTGTCCCATTCTTTAGTACTTATCTTTTACTTCAATTCCCTGGAGGAGCTGGCTTGACAGGGTAGCGGTCCTGCCGTTATTGTCCCTCCAACTTTAGCATCCAAGAAAGTGCCCTTCTTTTCGCATTGAGATCCTGATTTAGGTAAATAACCCTTCCCTTCCTAATTTTTGAAGGCTCTTCCTATTTTGACCTGCTGTTGCTTTGGCATTAACCATTTTTGCTCACCGTTTCTCTCTTGTGTGTCATTGTGTGGCTCAGTTCTACTTTTATTTTTTAGGTTTAAGCTGCCTTAAAGGAGAAATAGAAATTGTGACTCCAAAGAACAAAATAAGACAGAAGAGAGAAAACAGCACTCAAACCACCCCCCCCCCCGAAAGGTGATAATTCATGTAGACTCTCAGAATCATCCTAGACACATAGTTTGACTGGGACTGGGGCCTCTTGTGTTTTTGATGGATTTGAATAGGTAGCATTAGATTTCTTTGTTCCCTTAAAACCTACTTGCTGTTGAGCTTTAAAAGTTTGAAAGCTCTGAAGCCCATTTGAAGTACGGTTCCTCTTCTTGTAATGCTATGTCATTTTTAAAATTTAGTCTGCAAACATTATTTTGATTATGAACGGCTACTTAATGTTTTTTTGTGCCTCCTCATTTCAGGAATATCGCTTAAAATTATTTCATTCTCAGTAGTTAAAAGTGTCTTTTATTAAAGCCTTTTGACGGATTTATGGGTGCAACACTAGATTTGTTTCTGCTCAGATTCTAAAACCTTTATTGAAGTAGGTCCTGGTAATTGTGTTACATTGGTTTAGTTGTACCTAACTTTTGCATCGGGTCAGGTTTTTTTGTAATGAAGCTGCAAAAATTTAATTGGATGGTGTTTGTTTACAAGTACTTACTTTTTGGGTTGAGATCACAGAAAGAGATAATGCTGTTAGGTGCTTGAGGGAAAAAATGAAAGGAGTCATCAAAAACCGAATCCTGCTGGTAGGAGGAAGGTTCGGTTTCAGGGAGAGAGCAGCTCATAGGGAGAATTGCTTATCTTACGTGGTAAGATGAAGAGATGGGCTCTCTAAGGAGAGAGAGTGGGGGGGTGAATGATGTCAGTCAGCCTTTTTCTGCATCCTACTGTTAGTGTGCTCCAAATAATGGAATTTCTGCATGTTCTTGTAATGCAGAGTCTGTCTTGAATCCATTCTAATCTGTTTCAAATGTAGATGAGTTTATGTTATTTTGGCAAATATATCCTCTATGTAGGTCTCTCTAGTCTTTGTCGTGTTTTCAGAGATGTCATTGACTATACCAGAATGTTTTTTCATTGTCAGCAATAAATTATTTTTTTAGCATTAGTTGCAAGGGAAAGAGCCGTACCTGTTGCCAACAATCTTGGTCAAGGGCAGATTGTTTCTCTAATATAGCTGTCTTTAGCATACGGTAAAAAGTAGCTGCTACGTGTCAAGGATTAAATAGAAAATCCCCCTGTAACATAAATGCAACAAATTCTGCGATGCGTTTTGAAAGTACAGGGAAGAAATACTCCATGTGATTTTGATAGCGTATGCAAAACCACAAGTAATAGTGAAGCATGTGGACATGCCCAGTGTGATTGCAGGAGGGATTTTTATGCTAATAGATGAGACAGATGTGCATGAGTACAAACTTAGCAGTGCAGTTATGGCAAGCCTGTTTCATCCGAAGTTACAACCCATCCGGTGCTTCTAACGTTGGGGCTTGCACTATTGTAGCTACTCCAACAGGACAGATCTTGGTGTTGATAAGTCATAAGATCTTTGGGATTTATTCACGGGAGGAAATTTAAATTATCATTTGATTTGTGAAGCTCCTTCCTAATGTGAAATGCGAAATGCTAGTGCAGCAAAGTTTGATTCAGATGCAGAGACTGGAATTGAGTTCACAGGAATCAGGGAATTAGCTTCTGGCAGAAATTTGCACATGGTCAAAACAAGGAACAGAGATAAATGATATGCTGAAATCCTCTTGATCTCTGGAAGAAATGCGGCATATTGCAAGTATAGTTAGCCCTTTAGATAAGGTTGCACATCCATCTCTTTTTTTTTTTATCTTCAGGCTATATATTAATTTTGGGTTCGTTTTGCCTTATTGTGAATTCTAAACCCTTAAAGGAAATGTGCTGTCTGGGAGGCTGTTTTCCGTTGTTCCAGCTTTTGCTTACAGAATGATACTATCGCAGTGAAAAACTTGCTTTATCCACTGAAATCATCCAACGAATTTTGATCACTTAGATTCTTTCAGGCTATATTAAAAATAAATACAGAGCAAATACAAGTCTTCTAGAGATTGGTGAATGAAATAAACTCTATAAGCAGCACTCATTTTGTTCATCAGCTCTTCTATGAGTGTTAGGGCTGAAGTAGCTGCTTTAATGTGGTTTGAACCAACCATTGTTTTCTGCTTCTGTCATTCTGTGAGATATTGGTGTTTGGGTTCTTTAATGATAGGTCACATTAAAATACATAAATCTTATATATTAACACTTGCTGTGAATTATTACTTAAAGGATAAGCTTTTTCTGACTTCTGTTTAAGCAACAGCACCACTGTAAGTTAGAAGAGAGATTGTATTTTATGCTTGGTGCAAGAGGATCTCCAAGCATGCTGCAGAGCTCTCTGCAGTTTGTCAGTGCACATCTTGAGGGAGGAGAGTTGTGGCTGTGTGAACCTGATGCAGCATTCTCTACCGAAAAAGATCCGTAAGGCCTTGCTTTAGCACGAGCATTGAGGTGCTTGATTTGGAAGGATTTGCAGTATTTTCTTCACTGGGCTGTACTCGTGGTAAAGGTTGCCAATGTACGGGTGGGAATTTTGAGGATGGTTAATAGCTGAACACATTACCAGTGCCTTCTGGAGGTGAGCTCTCTTCTTTTGATCTTCAGTTTGCAGACCTGAAGTTACTAGAGCTGAGTGATTTTACTAATTCTCCATCAGGCCTAAAAGTCAGACCTCATAACTTGTCCGTGACATGGATCATAGTTGGTAAAATGATACCTCTGTACTTCAGTTTCAGCCACCTGCAGAATGTAACAGCACAACAGCTGCTTATTAGTTTATAACACCACCAGTCAGCATCATGCAGGACTATAAACACCTGAAGTTGATGGAGGACTTCTAGATGAACTCTTTTAGTTATTTTTAATTTAGTATGTCCAAGCTATGAGATGACATTACAGGAGCTCTGATGAGAAATGTGTAACTTTTAATGACCACTTACGAAGAGTGAAGGCTTCTTTCCTTTGAAGCAGCAGTTCCTCTGTGATGTTTTGGATTCATGCACTGTTAACTCATTGCTTTCAGACCCAGCAAGTCGCATGTGTTGCTTGGTGATTTTCATCTCAGCCACTTGGATACCTCACTTGATATCTGTCTGTGATGCAGCACAGAACATCTTGCAGAAAATATAATCAGGGTTATAAGGCTCTGAAATGTTAATATTTTATGTGTTATTTGCAAAATTTACGATTGTTATATGAGAACACAAAAAATAACACGATTGTTTGCCTTACTTTCTTGTCTGAAGAGCTCCTGAAATAGGAAGCTGAGCGACATATGAAGATGATAGTCACATTTAGTTTCTTTGTCAAACACATATTGACCATTTTTAAAATGCCATTTGAGTGAGAACACATTTAGCTTGTTTGAGTTTTGAAATGGGTGGGAGAAGTGGGTTGTGAGAAGAATGAATGCTAATGTGCTTATCCTTATTCCACAGGACTTTCTTTTTTATTTTTGTTTATTTGATTTAAATGTCTTGGAGTACTTCAACCACAGACAGCTAGTATCTACACTGATTAGGTCTATGCTCAATATTAAATGCCATGTGTAATGGTACACTTCCCTTGTATAGAGTTAGGCTAACATGAGTAAATTATGGTCCTTATCTGCTCTTGGATCTGTAATCTTAGGGTTTAGGAATCAGGTCTATCTGTTAGGCCATCGGAATGAGCAAAATACTATGCTATAAGGTCTTGTTTTTAGTACCAACCTTGAACTTCCTCTAAAGTATGTATATATACATATGCCTGAATTAATCTTCCATATAATGTTTGCAGTGCCTTTAATGAAGTGACACACTGATGTAGGAAACTCTAAGATCTCTTTGACAACATGAGACGTTATCAATAGATAATGAAGATGCTTGTCTTATTTTTTTTTAGTGTGCTATTTCTACTACAATTATTAGTATTTTAAGCAAACTTTAAGTCATTGAGTAAGTGAGCTTTACTTTCACTAAATATGACTTCTTTTTATTAAAGTTGCAGATCTTACTCTTGCCATATGCAGCTAATTTTCCTTTGGGGGGAAAAAGCTTGTTACTTTTTTAGTGGAGCAATCTGTTACCTTGTCTGTAGTCTGTGAAGTCAGTGCAATTCTAATTTGCATCAGCTAATAAAAAATGTGTGGGTTTTAAAGTGAAAATCATGCAAAAAAAAAAAAAGGTGAACTAACGACTGATCATCTATGCAAAAAAACAAGGCTAGAAATGTGATCAAATTAGGTCATGGCAGTGCAGTTTTGTGCACGGCTGTAAGCATATCTGCAGACCTTGTATGTTTTATCTTGGGAAGCAAAGCTCTTGGAAAATGTGCATAAGAGGGATGAAAAGAGCTTTTTTTCATCCTCCTCTTCTGAGCTATCATTGGGAAAGCAAGATTTTATGTTGCATTAAGTGACAGAAATTTTAACTTAAGCTAAAAGCTGCATAGTCCATATAATTGTTCTGGTGCAACTCATTTGCAGAAGAAACAAGTCACAGTTGGTTTTATGTGATCTGCTATACAACGAAGTAATAAATGCTTTTATTATTTATTATATTATTGCAGTGGACACACGTGATAATGGGTCCTGTTGCGAGAAGCTTGCAGCCAAAGTGAATGAAAGATCAAATAGAGTTGTACAAAGAATTAATGAAATAACACTGATGAGTATGAGCTCTCGACAGTGCTGTGAGAAACGGTCAAACGCTGGGACTGATCCTGTTAACTGCAGATGACAGGGAAGGGGGATGAGGAGGTCTAGTCTGAAGTAGGAAACTGGATAGGGATTGTAACTGGCGTTCAGTAAATTTTGATACTAAAAGGTTATTTTTTATATAAGAAGAGAAGGGTGCAGATTTTTGAGGTGGTGGTAATGCTTGTATTGTGAAAGTATCTTCACCTGTTTGTGAAACGCAGCGTGTATTAGCCTGATCCATCTTGTGAGGGAGAGGCGACTGTCTGGTGGCACTAGAAGTCCACTTGAAGGACAGAGAAATCAATGCTCTATGTTGTCAGGTTTTAATCTTTAGATAGGGAAGCACAGATGGAATAGAGATTTTAAAAAACAAAACCAAACAAAAAACAGCAACAAATCCCAAACAAACAAAAACCCGCACAAAAATGGGTTGTGAGGAACTAAATGGATCCCGAAGGTTTTTCCTGGCATCTCACTCCCACAGGGAGATGTTGAGCAATCAGGAAGAAATACCTGCTGTAGCCTTTGCATCCAGTCTTGTTCCATGGCAGGAGCAGGTGTACATAATCCTCAGAGAAGAGTTTAGACCATTTCTTGAAGATTCACTCCAGAGAGAAAGCACATCTCTTGTTTCTCCTGTCTTCCATAAAATAGTCTCTGTAGCCTTTTCTTCATCTGGCATAAGGAAACTCCCCACCCCAACCTCTGGAGGGCTGTCTGATAATGAAAAACAACCTCACTTCAGGGCCTTTTCTGGCATAATTGCATTAAAAGGTAGCATTGTAGCACAGGTACAAAGTAAAAGTAAGTAAACATCTCCCTTTTACTCTTTGCAACTAATAAGAGATATCTTTTTTTTTTAAAGGGGTAGCAGGTTTTTTTGACACACATGGGCAGACAAGATTATGAACAGTGAAGACAATGAAGAGTGGGACATCCGTCAAAGAGTAACAACCTCTTATAAGGTAATTCAGGAACACATTGAATTTATCCTGTTGTTCTTGTGAAATCAATTAAGTAGTTGCCCTCCATTTTCATGGCACTGTACAGTCATTATAACCAAGAACGTATAGGTATATTTTTTCCTCCTTCTGCTTCATTTCTTTTTTTTACTTGCATGGAGAAAGCCAATATGTAGCAATCCAAGTGCATACCGTGTTCTAAATGAGATTGATTACAGTTGCAAAACATTAAATATTAAATGCCAAATGGCTAATGACTTCCAGTGGTCCTCCTTTCCTTCTCCAAAGATTGATGCTGTAAATGGTGATTTGCAAACAGGGATTTTAAATGATCTATGGAGCAGAGGTGAGAATATCTTCAAAGCTCATGTGTACCTAGAACTATTCTGAAACCTTTAATGTTACAGTTAAGTATTCTTGTAATTTGAATTTCATTGCTTGCCATAGGGGTGAGATAGAGAAGTAGATATTTACAGAGACTGCACAAGTGATAAAAAGAGCTGCTTATGCCTGACTTTGTCTTCTGCTTTGTATGTTTTAGTACTTATGTACTTTAGTACTAGCTAATTTGAATAAGCTCTGCTAGTCACATGCAACATATGGGGCCAGTGCCAACTTTTTATAATGCTGCATTACAAATATACCCACCAGCTGAGAAGTGTGATATAAAGAGCTTTGCTTTTTCTTAACCAACTGTCTTCATAGATAGTTGCAGGGGGGATACTGCTGGCCCCTTAAATGAGAAATCCCATTTAATTTCATCTGTTTAGTCATCCTATCTCTTTCTGTAGCATTTTGATTGATTAGTTTGACCTTAACTTTCAGGATCACATGAGATCTTGCAAGTATTAGTCCTTTACAAGAAAGGACTGTAAAAATGGCAGTAGAAAGTTTGTTTGTACTTACTAACTTTTGATCAGATATTCTCAGTCTGAGAGAAGAGTTTTCATGCCTTGTTTTTGTATGCTTTCAGAAAGTAAGGCTAAAGGGGCACACATACTCTGTTTTTTTGGTTTTTTTTTTTGAAGGATCTCCCCTTGACTTATGCTTACTGTCAACTAACTTCTACTATCAGTTTTCACCTGTAAATCCAAAGAAAGATCTTGTTCTTGTAGTTGGAATTCTATTAACAGTACTATTAGTGGTGTTATCCAGAATGAAGGCAAGCTCACTGTCTTGTAGGTGAGCATGTTCTGAAATGCTAATTGGAGTTTAGAAAAGAGCTTAGCAAAAGCTTGTTAGAGTCAATAGAAATACTTCCATTGTCATCAGATTAACCAAGTTTGATTTTTGGAATATGCTACAAAAGCTGAACTATCGAGTTAGCAGTTGCTGGTTTGTAAATCCCCTTTTCTTCCAGTGTCAGATAATGGAGTTCATACTATAAACCAGAACAAAGCCAGTACCTAAGCCATGTATAACCTATTAAGCTAAAAAGTCTTCTTTCATGAATGTATGCTGAAATAGTGATTGTTGCCATACAAGGTAAATTGAAGCATTTGTAAATGTCAAAGACAGGCATTTGCTGTGTGTAATTTCCATATTTGCAATGTAAGTAGGGTCACTGCAGCTACCTGTTAATTATGAGTTTGTATCTCTCCAAGCAGCAGATAAATAACTTCTTTGCAACAGACACAACTGGGTTATAGAGGGGCAAATAGATAGCTATTGCTTTTATCTGGAAAGATGGCAGTGATTGATGTTTTCACTTTTTCTCTTGTCTGTGTGTATATCTGGATCACAGGAAAAGAAGTGCCCAGTGGGATATGGGGAGTTGATTGCAGTGTCTTTTGAATGACCTGTGAATCATGAGGATCTGGAAATCCTTATGATATTTACGTAAAAGGAGGTTTAGGTGATGATGGGGGTTGACATCCTAAGAAAACAAGGTTGCTGTAAATTTCAAGTTTTGCTTAAAATTCATTTTTGCCTTTAGAATTTTTCTTTGTACATTAACCTTGATTAACTTTTCAGGAGTTTCAATACATTTTTCTTTCTCTTTTTTATCTTCTAGTTCTGTGTTAATACCCATTGCATCAGTTTTTGAATATTTTTGAGACTCCTATTGCTCAGCATTACCTTTTTCAAACCCTGCTTTATTCTCTTTCTTCTGATATTCCTTTCCATTCTAGGAATACCTATTAATGGGATATGATACTCAATGTCTGTGAAAATGTAAACACTTAACAGACTTTGTGTACTGTGGAAGAATCTCTAAATACCTGCATTTTTTTTCTTGTCCCCAGCTGGGTAGCAAGTAGAACTTCAGATGAGTACTTTTCAAACAGAGCATGGAGTATAGTACTTCTTTCTTTCCCAATATATGCTTGTATCTAGGCTCTTTTACAAGGGCTGTTTTAGATAACCTTTTGACCCAGCTCTGTATCAAGGTATTTATAAATCGAATTGTTCTGGTATATGTTCTTATGGTGTCTGATAGGGCTATAGTAACCGCACTTACGTGTTTTCAGGTCTCATATATTATCATCTTTGTGTTTGATTTTTGGAATATAAAGGCTCTTTGCAGTCTTTATGTACTAATAAAGAAGTCCACGAGCCAAAATACAGACAGTAGACTCTGGGAGAAAAAGAAAAATTTTTTAGTTTGAACGTTAGTGTTACTGATACTTGTGTGCAGTAGGTCACAGGAGAAGATTATACTGGTAAAATGAAAATATTTTCACTGAAGCTTAGAGGTGATGCATTTCTAGAAAAAAAAAAAAAAAGATTATTAGAGTTCAGTTGCTCTAGCAATGCAGTGCTGTTTCATGCATTGGTTTAGATCATGTATTTAACCAGGATCTCTGAAGTTAGTGATATTAATCATATTGTGATTTTTTTTTTTTTAAATGAACATTGGGTTCTGGAGATTATTCTTTTTGCTTATGGCTCAGGTGCTTTAATTGTGGACTGTTTGATGCTGTCATTTCTGAAGAAAATGTTTACTATTTATAATGTTTAAGTGTGCTTTTTTTTTTTGCAGTTCAGTGACGTGAACCATGCACTATGATTTTGCTAGCAACAGTGAGATTGTTTTATTTTTATCCTACGTATAAGATGACTTTGCATATAGAGAGTAAATCTTAGCATTGCATTTCATTAGTGCTGACTTTTTTTCTAGATATCACTTTCCTGGTCTCAATCCTAATTTATTCATGCTTTATATTGATTCAAGGTGACTAGTGTGACCTCATGACGCTTCTGTAAAAGTCAGATTCAGCTAGGATGTTACACCATCACTGTCGGAGAAACCCTGAACTACAGGAAGAGTTGCAGATTCAGGCTGCAGTTGCTGCTGGCGATGTTCACACCGTGCGCAAGATGCTGGAGCAAGGATATTCTCCAAATGGTAGAGATGCCAATGGGTGGACCTTGCTTCATTTCTCTGCAGCAAGAGGGAAAGAGAGATGTGTCCGTGTTTTTCTTGAACATGGAGGTGAGTTGCCTAGAGAGAAAAAATTTATACCCATCTCAACTTTCTATCTCAGTTTCCATTGTAGGGCTTTCTAGCATTGATGATGTATCAGACTACTTCTGATTTTTTTTTTTTGTTTGTTTGGTTGGTTTTTTCCTTTCTTCCTTTGGAGTAGTACTTCATCTCTGTTTACTTCTGATGCATGCTCTGTGAACCAGGTAATGGATTAGCTTTATATCTTAATACCTTTTTTCTTTTTTTCCAGAATTGCCTAGGAATTGTTAGAAGAATGAATAAGCATTATGAAAATAGGGCAGAAGGGGACTCACTATAAAATTAAACGCACTCGCAACAGTCACTATAAGCTTTTCTTCTCTGTTAGGGGGTATCATTAGAGAAAGCCAGGGCCTTGAATTGAAATCCTAGGGAAGTTTGTTTCATAATTCTCAGCAAGTTAACAAGTCACATTAAAGACTAAGTTTCCATATGGGCTTTAACAGGGTCTGCTGAGCTTTATGAAAACAGTACTTTTTGTGCAAGGACCTTAGTGTTAGCTAGTCAGGTTGAGTTTACACCTTTCCTGCATCCATCCGTAGTGAAGCTTTTTTTCAAGAACTTGATAGAATTTTGTTGGTTTAAGTGATATACTTGCTTGGGTGATGATGATTACCCCTCAAATGGTACAGTCAGAATTCCTTTTTGCTGTATGTTCTTTCAAGACCACCTAAAGTTTTAGAAATGGGTAATCTTAAGCTTTCAATGTGATACTGAAGAGGTAAAGTAAAAATCAGTAGATGTTCTCCACATTCTGATTAGTGCTCCTAAAAAACAACATCCTCGCTTCTAGGGCTGTTCTTATCAAATGAATTATGAACTAAGATGTTTTCAGTCCCAAGGAAACTGAAATTATCTTTTTGATGCTTTGCATATCTGAGGCCATATGGGCCCCTTATGTGTGTCGCAGTATTTGTCAGATGTATGGATCATCCTTAAAATTGAATGGCATTAATAGGCCATGGTATTTGCACAATTAGTGTATCTTCCTTAAGAGCACTAGTGAAGTAGAGCCTGAACAGCTGGACCCTGTTGATGTACCTACTACAGATTGTAACCATGTAATATTGGCAAACCCTTGTGTCCTTTTTGGAAGGGGGGAAAAAAGCTACTAAACTGCATTAATAAATAACTTTAAATTCTACTTTTTAAATGTAATACATGTGAATAATCTCAAGCCTTCGGTTTGATAATTCAAAATTTTTAGGCTGTAAGTCTTGAAATATGTTGGTTTTAGCTCTATAAACTTGAAGATGATCTAAAAAAAAAAAAGCCCCTTATGTACTTCTATGTATTTTCATTGTATAGGTTTTAATATTAAATAGCTGCTGATGCAGTGGTTTGTTTTTGTTTTTGTTCTTACTCTTTCCTATATGGGGTACCAGCTGAATCTGATGCCTTGTGAAAACTGCCTGTAATGAAACACCCTTGTTCTGGAAGCAGTATAGCATTTAATCACCAGGACTAGAAAGTTGAGTAACAAATAGTGTGAGGGTTAGTCATCTATGGCGGCTTTCCTGTGGCTGAACCTCGCTTCAGAAAATTGGCACTGTTTTGTGCCTTGCCTTGTTTTCCCTCAAAGCAGAGGCATAAAAGATAATGAGTATTTAAAACATAAGAATGTCACAAATGAGCTATTAAGCAGTAAATGAGCTAACTCTTAAAAGCCAAGTTAATCATGCCTGCCTCATTAGCGATAGGTTTGTGTCTACCTGTCTTCACACAGTATCCACCTTTCTCCTTCTCAAGAAGTGTAGTATTTTGATGTTGGCACTTAATCCCTAATCCCTGTAGATCAAAATTATATTGGGGTGAAGGAAAAAGTCATTTTCTGGTGTGAATCTTATGGTAAACAGAGTATTAAGCTGACTATATATATTAGTAATAAGATAGTGACGAGGAGTAGTGCATGGAGCTCTGGAGGAAAGAAGGAACTGAGATGTTAGCAGTAAGAAGGGGGCAACTGGTGATAGTTATGGCTGCGTAGAAGCATGATGAAGCTTAGCACAGTTGGAAATATATTCATAGTACAGGAATGTGAAAACCACCCTGGGCTGTTGCTGAGGGTACAGTGCTGTGTCTCAGATCTGAGATGCTGGAAGACTACTGACATAGTCTTGCATAGTAGTGGGATAGAGATGGAATTTGGCTAACAGAGGCTGAGAAGGAATCTGGTCACTGACCTGGAAATAAAAGGTAGCTTCTTATGGGAGTCATGAGTCATGACCTGGCTGCCTCCAGCTTTTGCCTTTTTTTTTTTTTTTTTTTTTTCTCTTCCATTATTGCTCACCAGCAAAGAAAAGAGCCAGAGGACAGCATGGTGCATGCTGATTTGAGTGGAGGTGGTGAAACAGGAGGAAGCTTTTTATTATCTGCTGAGCAAGGAGACACAGATAGATGGGGAAAATGCATTAAAAAACCAGTCCAGACTAAAGGATGAAACCAGCAGAAATACCACCTAGATGCAGAGGTAATAGGTCAGATAATAAATATTCCTTAACAAGTGATGAAAAGCAGAAAGTTGGTCAGAACCATGGAGAAACTTACTCTTTACAAAAGATAGTGAATTTAACTTAGTGTATTTGTCTCATTTTAATAAGGTGAAGATTCCCATCCATAGAAACAATCTAGAGTCACAAAGCTCAACAGGAAAGCAACACAAAAGTAGGGAGTGTAGTTTTCAGTAACCTTGGATTTTTGCATAACAAGCCTTTTTTTCCCCCTTTAATGTACTTTTTTTTTTTTTTTTCAAAATTACATATTGAGACAGACAATCCAATGCTGGATAAGAGCCATGTTCTATTAATCCCCAACCACCACTGTTAACGTTAGAGTGAGCTAAAGTCTTGAAAGTGTGTAGTTGTTAGCTGTCCCTTGGCAATATCTTCTCAATACTAATTGAGCAGGGCAGTTTCTGGTTACTCATATTAAAGTGAAGAAATGATTCACTAAAGCTCCTGGAAATTGAAGAGTAACAGAAAGAAGTAGCCAAACAGACGTATTTATTTATTTTTAGTCTTGGCTGCAAGGTATCTAAATTTTAGTAAGGTCATGCAGAATCTGGGAGAAACTAGAGAATGCCAAATGCTCATCCCGCTAAACCAGCTCATAAAGTGTTTCTGTGTTTGAACAGTAATGCTTTCCTGGAGGTCTTTTGTATCAATGTTGTCCTATAAAATTCAAACCAGAAGCTATTTGTAGCCGTGTTTCTAAACTGTGCAGTGAGAAATAAGCCCTGGTTGGGAGAAGTAAGCTTGAAATAATAGAAGTACTTTATGAAGCCAGAAGCATTGATTTCTTGGCTTCCCAAATTAGACTGCGATAGAGTGACCTAACGAAGGTGTCAAGAAAGAAGGGAAACTGTCCCACTGAGCTGTGAATTGAAACTAAAATATTAGACTCTTGTTTATGCATCTATATATCCTCTAGATTACAGTATTAAAAAAGAGTTTCATTAATTCTTTTTTAATACTGTAGAGTTTAAATGACTGTTTTAGGTGCCCAGCTTGAAAATTTGCAACGCTGAATGACATTCAGATTATTTTACTTCATATTTAATCTCAGGTGAGCTTGATTGTAATAATTTGGTATCCTTGATAAGCAGTTCAAGGTTTGTGCCATTACATTATGCCTTATATTTAAGGACATTAGAAGTGACCAAATGCAGCTGTTCATGTTTCTAGATTCTGCTCTCTACAAATTAATGGAAAGCTTGAAAAGAAATATTGTTTGACAATCAGGATGGAGGCAAGATAAAGAAATGCTGGCAAGTGCTGGCTTAATTCTTTCCTAGCTAAATGCAGGTACATTTTTTTACCTCCCCTGCAGATTCTGACAGGTAAGCAGAGAATCATTCTGGATTCATTTCTACCTTGCTTGTGTTCCAGGGGAAGAGAGTTACTTTGCAGCATGATGCCAATAGTGAAGCCTTTTAAAAAATAAACGAGCAAAAAATCCTCACAACAACCCAAGTCCTTAAGGCAACATCAGCTTTGTAGTGTTACTTTTACTAATACAAGGACTGAATCGATGGAAATTGTCTGCAACTTAATGCAGGTCCAACTTCTGCTAAAAGCCCGTGTGAGTTCAAAAGTTTTCCAGGAGATGGCAGCAAAACATTGACTGAATAGCAACAGACAGTTGGGTCTTGGTAAAATTGTTTCACTAATCCAGGGGGAGACTGACTGGTACTGTTAGCTCACTAGAAGCTCATAATCTGAACAGGAATTACACTATTTTGATCATGAGGTTTTGCTACCGGATTTACTTTTGGAAGGTTAATTGTTTGTGTTGCTTGTTTGCCCAGCTGAGAGGCTTTTTTCCTAATGTTGAGACATTTCGCTTACATGACTTAGTATTTTTTTTATTCACTTTAGTGATCAAAAGCAATTAAATTTTTGGAGTAGGGAAGGTGTAGGAAGGTGCTTAAAAGCATAAGTAAAGGGCATCCTTATGTTGCAAGTAAGTTGTAATTGTTGGGTTTGGATAACAACTTCTATAAAAACACATATACATGCACACACAAAAGTTGGGACATATCTGATTGAATTTGGAAATAGCATAGACTAAATAGGCTAGCGGCAGTATCCTGCACCTCAGCTGAGGGGTAGAAATGATTGACTTGAATGCCCTATGCAGCATGGAAGAACAAAGGCACGACAGGAATTTTTTATTTCTTAAACTTTTTTTGTGGAAAATGGCCCTGGCTGCTGCTGTCTCTTTTCTATTATGTCCATCTTTCTCCCTAATTCTGCCTCACAGAATGTCTCATCCCTTTGCATCTTAATTCTTATACTACTCACTTTTTTTTTTATCACCAGTCAGGACATAATCTAGAATAGTCTGAGCAGTGCAAAGGAAGAAACCCTGGCAGCAGCAAACATCAATTTGATATGGTGTCTTTGTCTTTAATGACTCTGTGGGTGGTACTGATTCTTTGCTATATTTTGGACATCATCACAGTTCAGGTTAGTTCAGTCACTGACTTAATTTTCCTGCCAGCTGGTGGATGCTTCATCAGTTACTTTAACTCAGGTTAGTGTAACCTCACAGAGCACAGAAACTTCTGCTTTTCACAGAAGACTAGGAAGGCTTACTACTAAAGGAGTAAACTTCCCTTAATTTTTCTCTTTTAGTTTCTAGGCTCCTATTCTATACACTAGAGGCAGTTCTCACCTTTTATTTCTCTGTGTAGTCAGGCTGCATTAGTTTGTATGTTGGATTTTTTTTTTTTGTCTTCCTCCCCTCAGTCTTCACTTTACATTTTAGAAATCCTTAAAGTTGCTGGATCACCTTTGCAGCTGTATTCTGTACTCACCAGTCCTTTTATTTTGGTATGATGTCTACCTTGGTGTGTGACCTGGATATGGTCACAGTGGGTTCATGCTGGGAAGCTTATTCCTGTTGTTTTGTGTTAGCACCTTTGTGTGTTCAGACTAAATTAGCTTGCAATTTGTATTTTATTATGAACTTAACTTACAACAGGTCTGAATTTTGAGATGCAAATTGGCGTCTCACCCTCTTCCCCTCTTCTGTTTGAGTATGATGGCAACCAAGCAGAAAACTTCCCTTCCTACATGGTACAGGAGAGCAAGTGCTCCTCTTGAGTGATGTGTGTGAGCATTGGGTGTTCACAGCCTTCAGCCAAGTTTGTTTTAAACCTGCGTGGTCACAATGTCCTATTCCTCCCAAGCCCCAACCCCCCTGACGACTGCTACTTTTAAACACCGTATGTATAGATGGGGAAGTTATGAATAATTCAATGGGCCAGGATGCAAGGGCAGGGCTGACAAGGTTATGGAAGGTGGACAGACACCCTTACGCTTGTCTGCTCTTACAGCTGATGTGCTTTGTGCACCAGTGTTGGGTGGCTACAGAGCAGACACCACCACAAGCAACAGTGAAGGACAGAGCCCAGCAGTTGTTTCAATGGATACACAGGAGTATTGAAAATATGTCAACTTAAGGCTAGCATCCTGTGCTGACTGTATCTCTCTTTACCAGCTAGCAGACTTAGGTTAGGAAAGTGCCTCAAACTTCCAAACAGTAGTTTGTACCATTTAGCGTCTGACAGGCAGCATTTATGGGTGGTGGAAGGAGAACCGTCGCAGCCTGACTTGTTCTCTGGCAGAGAACTGGTAACGAGGCAGGCACCCTTCATTTGGTAATTAATTTGGTACATGGGAATAGTCACTTGCTTTATAAGTTTGAGTGTCTTGAGGAAATTAAATAAAGTCAGCTGATTTGATTATTTTAAATTTTAAATTCATAAATAAGACTGAGTTTTTGTGCTGTGTTGGAGGGAAAAAAAAAAATAAACTGTGTAATCACTTGTATTCTGCACTAACGTTTTTCCTGGCTCCTTCCAAAAGTGGATGCTTACATTCTTGTAAAATCTTAAATTTTTGTAAAGCTATAAATTCAGAACAGATTCATCATCTATAAAAGCAAACTTTATCAAGATAATCTAAAATAACATATATCCTACATGCTTTGGAAATCCTGCAGACCACAGAGAAACATTTTACCTAATACAGTATTACACCCTAAAAACAATACAATGTTGCCAGACCACAAAACATCCGCAGTTTGGGACAGCAGATGTTTCTACACATGCTTCTTTTTAAGACCAAGAAGCAACACAAGGGAAAATAAAGAAGTTGAACATTGAGAAAGAAATGTAATATTGTGGAGCTGGAGGAAAACTGGATGGACAGAGAGATTTGAGTAATTAGCCTAAGAGTGCTAGGAAGATGTGGAAAATGATTTGTCAAATGGAAACATATGTATATGAAAGAAAAAAAATTTTTTGTGTAATTCTTTTTAAAATATAATTTAACTTTTTCTTAAAAATAGCATGTTCATGAAAGCAAGAATTGGTTTGAAGTACAAAAAATCCTGTTGTGCTATGCCTGAGAAGACTAACATTCAACCGTTTGATTATTTTTTTGCAGCACTGGATTACTGTAATGCCTTCTAATTACTTTTTAATTTTATTTTAACTTCAGCTGATCCCACGGTTAAGGACTTAATTGGAGGCTTCACTGCTCTGCATTATGCAGCCATGCATGGCCGAGCGAGGATTGCACGCTTGATGTTGGAATCTGAATATAGAAGTGACATTATTAATGCAAAAAGCAACGATGGTTGGACTCCCCTCCATGTAGCAGCCCACTATGGCAGAGACTCATTTGTCAGACTCCTGTTGGAGTTCAAGGCTGAGGTTGATCCGCTCAGTGATAAAGGTACTACACCGCTTCAGCTGGCCATTATCCGAGAGAGGTCAAGCTGTGTGAAAATCCTTCTGGATCACAATGCCAACATCGACATTCAAAATGGTTTCCTGTTACGATACGCTGTGATCAAAAGCAATCACTCTTACTGCCGAATGTTCCTTCAGAGAGGGGCGGATACAAACTTGGGTCGCTTGGAAGATGGACAGACACCCTTACACTTGTCTGCTCTTAGAGATGATGTGCTTTGTGCACAAATGTTGTATAATTACGGAGCAGACACTAACACAAGGAACTATGAAGGACAGACCCCACTGGCTGTTTCAATAAGTATTTCTGGAAGTAGCCGACCCTGTCTGGATTTCTTACAAGAAGTGACAAGTATGTATGTAAGAGAAGTTAATCACAGGACACAGTGTCCACTAAAAGCCTTCTTTGAATTTAGCCCCAGAAAAAATTGCTTCCTCTCTGCCCCTTGATGCTATTTAAATGCATTAGAAAGTTTCTGGGAAAGTGAAGGGATTGTGATACTGGGAATTTCTTACTCGGCAAAGGTGCTAATGTTAAGTATATTTCATTTAAATTAGTTTTGTTTAAATATCTACAGGAAGCATTAATTTTTTAAAAGTGAACTGTAAAATCTCATTTTTTTCATGGCCTTAGCACATAAGATGTTTGGGGTTTTGGGGTTTGTTTTGTTGTTTAGTTTGATTTGTTTTGGGTTTTTTTTTTTAGTGCCTTTTACCCCTTTTTTTTTTTTTTTTTTTTTTTTTTTTTCAATCGTCATGCAAATACTCTGCAGTTGCTGGCTTTTTCATCTGGCACTACAACTAGGGCAGAAAAGAGCTTTTGCTGCTTTGTGTTTTCCCACATTCTCCCTCCCTCTCTCCCCTTCACCAGACAACAAAATGGTTCATTCGTGCAACTTGAAGGGGTTTCATGTGCTGTGTAGCTTCGATTTGATTTTGTTGATGTCTTTGAAATATGAAAGAGATTTTAACTCATCGTGACTTCTGGTATTTAAAAAGAGTATTAGGCTCCTAATATTTTGGTCACTTTTGATTATCAGTTTTTGGTGTACTAGATCTACTGAAAGTTTTCTCTAACAACATGAAATGCTGTAATAGTTTCATAGTTACAGTGTTGCCTAAAGCATTTAGGGATTGCTGATTAGCAGTTGGCAAGAGTTTGCTAATTCAAACATGTTAAGCTGGCCTGATAAATTGTCATCCTATTTAGGATGATCTTTGCACTACAGAAGATGGGGTATCTCATACATCCCTTTTTCCCCTACAGTTCCTTTTATTTTTCGGATGTAGTAGTTTTAAATGAGACTTATATACTCTGCAAAGAAACTGGAATTTAGTGTGGGCTGGGGGTGAATCAGCTGATATCTGTTGTCACTAGCTGACACAAGTAAGTATTTGGAATTGCATTTTTTGTCTTCGTGATTTGTGGTGTTATTTTTGCTTTGATTTGAAATCTAAAGAGAATTTTTGGAAAGATGGAAGTTGATAATAAGAAATACAAGCAACCAATAGATTTTGGTTTATTTTGCCTGCCCCTTCTCATTCAAACTCATTTCTTTCTGATTTCCTTTTCAGGAGCCTCTCACTATAGTAGCACCATCAGGGTTGTTATTAGATAATACAGTATCCATACTTGCCATTTTTTAGAGTCTTCGGACCTATTGGTAGGCATGAAGGCTTAGACTACTTCAGTGTTTCCTCAATGTCTAAAGTCTATTTCAGAAAGTTGGAAACTGGTACTAAAACTTTTACTTTGCATATTCCATACCTTAAGGGTTTAATGTTAAGTGAGAAGTAAACTGCTACAAAAAAGTAGCTTAAATTTGTGGCCAATATAACAGTGTTGGAACTATTGCAGTTTTGTGCTGATGGAGGGAGAACTGGGAAAGCAGGGAGGACTAGTGCTGACAAAAACACTTCAGCTTTGTGCTTCTGAGCAAAATTATTATGAATATATGTTTATAAACAGCTATAAACAGACTCTGCTGCCCTTATTATAAATATCCAAACAGTGTCTTCCACAGTTTTCATGAATAATCACTTTAATAAGATGGTGTAGGAGAGATGAAATGAATAAAGAGTGAGCTGGGATTTTGGTAGCGAAGTTCCCAATTAGATCAGACTGTATACAGGGAATTGTTGAGATCTCACGCTGTAGTAGTCCGGGGAAGAATCTTGTTTCTGAGTGTATTGCAATATGTATTTACTAGAAGAAAAATTTATAAATTTTTTAGAGAATTCTTCTAGTGGAAGTCTTCCTGAAATGATCTCTTGCAGTTGGTAACAGTGAGTTGGTTATAGGGCTTAAGGGGAATTTCTCATTGGTTTATTTGAACGTTATACTAAGTGTTTAATATAGAAATACGTAGCTGTAAGTTTTGTATGTGCATCTGAAGTTTTGAAGAATACATCTGATAGTGAAACAGGAATTAGTTTTTACTTTCGTAGTAGATTAGAATTGTTAAGAGTAAAGAATACTATTTGTGAATTATGAAAGTTATCAAACCGATCTGTGTCTTCAAGTGAAAGCCATTGCATGCTTCGTATAAATGAGGTACTATTTAGCAGTCTACATGTAAGATATAAGTAGCTATTATTTTTTTATATACTCAGAAAACATATTTGTACAATTTCAGTTCTTCAGAAAACATATGTGAATTTCTTTTTGTTTTGGTAGGTATTGTAATTGGTAATAATTCCAGCCTTTAGCCCAGGTCCCCGGTTGTGAATAACAGGCAAGAAACCAAGCTCTCAGAATTACTCAGTATAGGCCCTGAGAGTCTGCAAGAAGATATTGGATTTGGGGTTTTAACCCTGAAGGTCTGATATTCTTCCTGGCTACAGGTAGAGATTCTTTTGCTCCTAGAATAATTCCAAGAGGAAAGAAGTTATTTTGAGTTGTGTCTAAGTATTTAAGCACGAAGCTGGAAGTTAGGAACAACAAAGTTTTTTGTCATGAGTCTGCTGTTGACTTGATGTTTAGATGGTCACTCATGTCTCTCTTCATTTTTTCCCTCTCTCTTTTTTACAATACAAAAATGATTAAATACTCCCTGTGAAAAAAAAAAATATTGCAGATGAGAATTGCTCAACGACTTTATTTATCACTTTCCTTTTCCTTATCTGTATTATACTTTCCTACTCCAAAAAACATTTATTGGCAACCAGCTGATACAGTTGTTTTGGAGCACTTCAGTCTAATGCATCAGTTTTGAGTCCTGAACCTGCCTCTTCAGGAGTGTCAGTGGACTAATGCAAAATTAAAATAGACATGAATCTATATAACATATATGGAGATAGAGATACATATAGACTTTTTTTTTTTGTAGTGTATATGTCTACAGAATTAACATGTGCAATTACAGTCTTGGATGGAATGATTTATGTTGAAGCTGAACGGTATTTGAGAATATTAAAACTTGTAAAGAGAATGCTGGAGGTGGGAAAAAACATCAGTGTTAGAAAAATACGGTTTAAATAAACTTGTAAGATACTAGAAATTCAACTGTGATTTCAAACAGGGGAATAAGAAAGGCTTGAACCCTTCCCCCTCTCTGTAGCTCTCATTTAATTTAATCACTGTTCAGATAATGTAGCAGACAAGAGAGTCTATGACTCACTATGCAAGTTGCTTGTCTGTGTCGAGGCAAATAGCAAAGTAAATGGATATGGCCAGAGTAGTGTAATGTGGCATGTATGTTAACAGGTATCAAAGAACTAACTTCAGATCTGGAGCAAGATCTGAAGGTCACCAAATGAATTAAACTACAAATATTCATCTGCATTCCTTTTTTTAATTTTTCAAAGGGCAAATCTTTGGCTTTGACTAGAGAGTGTAATTTTGTATTTAGATTTATATTGCACTGTAAATGTGCAGAAAAAACTTAGATAAAAGTCCTGTTAGGGAAGTCCTTATACATTCTTTGTTTCTATCCCTTTGTTAAATAAAATAACTTTTCATTCGCTTGTTTTTTTTTTTTGTTTTGTTTGTTTTTTTACTGGAAGAACATTTTAAAAAGGGTCTCTGCATAGTTTAAGCTTTTATGAATACAAAAGTGCCATAGTAAATTAAGTAGGTTTACATATTTTATTACCACTATTTTCATGTTATAACAAACATAGAAGAACTTTACAGGAATTGCAAGCTTTGACTACTTGCTTCCTTGGGTGCTGCTGGAAATCCTGCACTAACGACTGCGGTCTGCTTTGTCACCCAGAGTTACACAAGGAACTAGGGTAAGAGGGGTTTTTTTTTTAGTTTTCTTTTTAGCTGGATCAGTGATAATCATGATTCAGACGGTATTTGTTTACTTTCTGCAGATTTCAGGTATCTATCTGTTAAAGACCAGTATAGGTTTTGATACCTTTATAAAGACATAGCCCAAATTTTTTTTCTTTCTAGAAAGAGAAAAGTTATCTTTCAAATAATTGTTTAACTCTCAACTCAGAATTGTCTATTGTGATATTGAAAAATGCAGCTACTAATTCAGAGTGCAGTTGACTTTATATTGAGCAGTTGAATCATTTTTGTATAGCTATATGCAGATGTATATTTTGGAAGAATTTGAAGAGGCCTATGTAAAAAAAAAAAAAAATTAAGAAGGTACAGCAAACCCCCACTCCCGTTTGTATACCTATGCTGTACTCTTTTATAATGTAAAAATAGTGTAACAATGCACCATAAGCCTGTCTTTATGTTCAGAGCACTTTACTGTCTCCTAAAAATAGATAAACATTATGGTATTGAAATTCTTAGCTGAATTTCCATAGCAATTTCAGTAAGACTGAACTTAAAGAAACATTACAAAATACTTTAAAAAAAAAAAAAGTCTTCTACAAGCATATTCAATTCTTAACTTCATTGGTAAATACACCTGTTATACTTAGCATTGAGTATTACTGGCATTCTGCTTTTTCATGTATAAATTTTTGGTCCAAAATGTGCTCTTTCTTTGTACATATTTTCTGTGCCAGATGTATTGAAATTTAATGGACATCTAAAACTCGTTGTGGAGAATTATTTTTTTGAAGAGCAATGAAAACATACTTTAAGCTTAAGTATTCTAGCAGAGGCATACTGAACACAAAATTAAACTAGAACTTTTTAAAATAACTTGTATGATATCCAATTCAAAAGAATTAAAAGCTCTCTTTGTCTCATTGAGCTAGATACTGGTTCAAGGAGTTTGTTCACTTTCTGAGTGAACACTCTGTAATTCTCTCTAAATTCAACCCTGCATGTCTTGTACTAATATTTCAGGCCTATAGATTCTCAATACTAGCTTTTTCTGGCATTTTGAATTCTGGAAAACCAAATAGCCTCTGTAGTTATTCTGCTGGTTATTTTTATCGAGTACAGGACAATGCATTTCCTAAACTGTTAGACCTACCAGCTGAATTCGGTGTGATCCTATTTGTTTGTGCGTCCTCATCAATGTGTTTCTCGGCTGGTGGGTGTGAGTTTCTAGTTGATAAGTTCAACTATCTTTTTTAATTCCTCCTCTTCCCCCCCCCCCCCCCCCCCCCCAAAGCCAGCAAAAATGTAACTAAATTTAATTGCTGGCAGTAGCTGAATTCCTTCACAGTTGTGAAATAAGGGATGGGTTTAATAGTTAGCTGCAGATATAAATACTTATTCTGATACTCTAGAGGAACTGAGCTGCTGCCAGCCATACGTCAGTCTGGTTTCAACTTTTTTTTTTAATGTTTCACAAAACTTTTATTTTTAAGTTTCCTTTGTAGCTAAAAGAAACTACCAAATGGTTCCTTACTACTGTTTTCAGACTTTCACAATTCCTAGGGGAGGCAGAGGCTGTTAGAGAAATAATACTGTAAGCTTTTTCTCGAGAAATATATTAATATTGCAGAGAAAACTGGGCAGTTTCTGAAGTATGTCACTGATGTTGTTTTTCATTTTTTAACTTCTTCAGAAATTGCCTGTCTGCTTCAAACCAGTGACACTGTTTACTTATTTTAAAAGAAGCACCTTTTTTTTTTTTTCAGTAGGTAGAACAATACATCAGAGGGGATCTTCTCACAGCCTACACGTGTATTAATTTCAGTTAATCCTAAATTTTCCTTTGGCTAACAGAAAAGGTCAGTTAATGATTTTTGCTTTGCGTAGATGCTCTTTTATCTTCAGCAGAGGAAAGTGGTAGGGATTCTCCCTTTCCACCTTCACAACACTTTTGCTTAAAACTGGCTGGGAGTCCCTAAAAATCAATATTGTCAGAGGTACTGGATCTAATATTACGCCTTAATGATCCTTAAATATAGAACTATTAGGTGAGTTAGTTTCTTGGGGAGCATGGTCTGCATGGGAGAAATGGACAGGCGCAGGTCTGAATTCATAAGCTGCAGAGCAGTTGTAACGATGACATACAGTTGTTTGTATAGTAAATCCTAAATGTAAGTTTTGTCTGTCTCTGGGGTAGAACAGCAAACTCCCAGATAGAATAGCAGAAAAATCTTGAAACTGCAAAAAGGAAAGGAATGTAATATTGAGTGAAAATTCAGGATTAATTGTAATTTCTTGCTGTTAAAATATGCATTTTTTCCCTTGCTTTACCAGAGAAGGCCAATCTATTAACAATTTAAAAGGCTTGTTTAATTATTTAGGTAAAAAAAATACTCATTATTTAAGGAGGAATTAAAAAAACTCAGGAACTTACTTTGTCAGCAGTTGAAGAACTGAATAAGGAAAATGGTTAACCTGTACGTACTGAAGTCTGCTGCCTCCGGAGAGAAAAAAAAAAAAATTGAAAAGCAAATCCTCTTTATTTTATAACCCTGTTTTATGTTTCTTCTGTTTGGAAGAAACTTTCTGTCGTGTATATTTTTCCAAACATAAGAAGTGCGTTGGTGGGTATTTCTGCTTTCCATTATAGCATGTAGCATGAGCTGTGGAAGACAAAAGATGAACTATACATCTCTCTCCTGTAATTAATACTTCTAAGGTATTTGAATATCACTATAAAGCTTGCAAAATAAATTGACTGAGGTATCTAACTTGTTCCAGTGAACACGTTAGCAAACCTTCAGCTTTACAACAGCAGCAGGTATTTGCTGCCCTGATGGTAACTCCGGTTGTGTAACAGCCTGACAACAACCCGACTGCTCCAGAATAAGGGCAATGCCATAGTCAAGGAGTCCCTCAGAGATCGGATCAGGGATGTGCTGTTTGGGTGTTTTTAAGGTGATCAGTAGTTTTATGTCACTGTTTTGCATGATAGTGGTAATTAGGTCGATCTTACCTTTTATTTTGTGGTGGGGTTTTTGTTTTTTTTTTTTGTTTTTTTTTTTTGTTTTTTTTTCTTTTTTTTTTTTTTTTTTTTTTTAATTCTTTTCCTTTCTAGCGTATTTGCCTAAATAACTGTTCAAACTTGTGCTGCAGGATATAATCAAAGTTGCTACTTCCTAATTGTTTTTAAACAGAACTTTATTCATCATTTAACTTGTCTTACTTTGCCAAATTACTAATAACATTTTTCATTTGCCAAACTAAGGTTCACTGACATCGGTCTGTAATCCTTTATTTTTTTTTCTTTTTCATTCAGATGCAACCAAGAATGAATAAGTGTTCTAGACACCGTTTCTAATAAATCACAAATGCATTAATAACCCTGGAATTTGCAAGACGTGACCTAAGACACTAACAACCACTAGATGTAGCAACTGGTGCTTAACACTGGAAATGTCCATTGTTAACACATTCCCAGGACATATTTTTAGGCTTATCAGGGGAAAATGTCATACATCTGATAATCGGGTCTTTTTGAATTAACTGATGACCAATTTCTTCTGCGTATTTTAAGTTGTCTGTTCCATTTTGTTCTCAAAAAACCCGTAGGATGTTAATTAAAAGGCATTAATTTCTGAAACCAGAAATCAGTGTCTCACAGCTGTATTATTGTGTACTCTGCTACAGAAAATACACATATAGATCTGTAGTCCTCTATACCCTCTAATGCTGCTGTTTGCAGTTAGCTTTTGAAAAGGTGCATCCTTTCTAAACCCTGTTTGGATTCATATTTAAAGCATTAGAACTATTTCTTTATCACCGTAAAAATTCCTCTGCTTGGTTTCTTACCAAAAGTAACTTTTCTTTCCCTGAAGCTTGACCATTCAGCTGTTGTCTGAGTTGTATAAATTAATTCCTTCAAGTGGAAAAAAAAAAAATTGCTAACAAGAAACCACCAGTGGACAAAGTAACTATCTGGATTCTAAGACATGGCTGAGAGATATAATTCAGAATAAATTGACATTAGATACTGTGGTGATAAGTATAATAAAAGTATTTTAAACTTAAATGAAGGAAACTCAAATTTGCATGTTCTTTAATTTCAAATCTAATTTCTTTAAAAACTGACTTGAGACTATTTTCATGCATTACTTCTGCTAGCTTACCTCGGATAATTTTAGTGCTTAAGATAAATCCCAGTGTATACCTGTCTGTCAGCCCATTTCTATAGAAAAAAAACATGTAGGGGGGGAAAAAAGGAGGAACTCGCTATAAAGGATATCTGAAACCACGTACAAAATGCCCAATGTAGAAAACAGGAAATAGTTTCATAATCTCTTTACTCTGTGCTTACCAGGAAAGTCTATTAAACTCATAATGTCACTGTCTGTTTAGCTGATAGAAGGTTTGTTGCTGAACTAGGAAGAGGATGGAAGACGGGACGGGCTCCGGAGCCAGCTCTGGGCCTGGCTCGGGTGAGAAAAACCCTCCCATCTCCAAACAGGTTTGTGCCCGGTGAGCTGACAGCATCCTGCTGTCCACCATAAAACCTGCCCGTGTCGAGCCCTGTACAGAAGACATTCCCTCTTTCAAAAATGTCCTGCCTAATTGGCAGCAGCTCAGGAAGGCTAATTGGAAACGTCCATCGAAGTTATTTAAAGTTGCTTTTGTTGTTTTGTACTGCTTTTTAAATAAATGATTGATTCAAGCAGTCGGCTCAATAAAATTGCCGTGCCTTCCTTTGCAAAAGCAAGCACTGTCTTTTACCATTGATGATTATACAGATAATAGAGTGCAGTAAGTTGCTCTGACATCAGATTATCTTGATACTGGCACAAGCACCTACATTGTTGATGGTGCCAAGTATTTTGACTCGGACAGCCACTGGGTACCCTAACTGTGTAAGCCTCTTTTTTTTTCTTTTTTTTAAGACCATGATACAGTTAGGTCAATGATCAAAATATTGATTAGCACAGCTTCAATGTGTTATTGGGATAATTTCAAAAAAGACAGAACAGAATGAGGAAAAAGCAGCTAGTTTTGTCACAGGTTAGAGGTTTGGAGAGGTTCCTGTGGTGGGAGGTTATTAGGGTCTTCAGTTTCTGAAAGAGGTACCGAGCATGAGTGAAGGATGGAAATTAATATAAAGGTATGTAAAATCATGACTGGCGTGAGAATAATTATATGTTATTTTTTTTTTGTAACTCAAAGAATGGTAGGCACGCAACAAAATGATCAGGAAGCAGATCTAAAATAAATAAAAGCACTTTGTAGTTTTCCAGCCAACGCCTAATTATATTGTGAAATTTGTTGCCACAGGATGTTTTGGATACTGAAAGTATGAATGGGTTCAAAAAACATTAGACAGATTTACAAAGGGCAGACTGTTCACAGCTATTAAAGACATAGATCTGTGTGCAATCTTTGGTTTAGGAAGGCCCAGAGGCACCGGTGCTGAAAGCTAGAAGGGTATATTGGGACAGGATTTCTCAATGTCTGTTGTTCTGCTCTTTTTCTCTTTCTTTATTGGGATTCATTGCTGGGTACATTCAGATACAAGGCTAGATTAACCTTTGTTACATTATGTTGCATGAGGGACCGTTTTTCAAGGTGTTTGAATAGTTTCCTCTTAAAAATGAGTTTGAAAGGGAACTGATTATTTTGGAAAATATTTGCCAGAAATACTGAAGTTCATGTGATGTCAGTAAAGCTTTTCCTCTGTGGACAGTGGTAAATTCAGTGTCATTTCTTTCTGTTTGATGACGTTGCAGCTGCGTCCAAAGCCTAAAGGCTTCACCTTTTCATCAGAAGGGGAAAAAACTGTCTTTAACTCTGCCATGTGATCCTTGAATAATGTTTATAAAGCCTTACTCTGTAAGGAAACTGCCTAGTCCTGTTACAGTTGAACATAGAAGTTTTTACTTTAATGTTTGAAAATAAGCCAGACTCAGGGTTTTTTCCCCCCAGGTGGTACAAGGATAGGAAAAAAGCCACAGAAAGTTAAATGGAGGAGTTATGCTGGTCTACAATGCTTAAGCGTATTTTGCCACCTCGTGGGAATCCTTAAAATAATAATGTCACTTTGCACTGGTATCAGTAAAATTATGTGCATGTAAAAGTTGTCAGGATTCATCCCTTGAATTCACTGAATTATTGTTCATTAGAAAGGTATTAACTTCCACCCTTTTTCTCTTGTAATTTTTCCCTGCCCCGTGCCTCTTAGAAACAGCAAACTTCTGTGATTTTACTGAGTAAATGATCTCTTAAAATGTGTTTAAAATGTCATCATTTTACTTTTATGTGTTCCTTTTGTCTTTTCAGGACAGCCCAGAAACTTGCAAGATCTATGCCGAATTAAAATCCGTCAGTGTATAGGCCTTCAAAACCTAAAACTACTTGATGAACTACCCATTGCCAAGGTCATGAAAGACTACTTAAAACACAAATTTGATGATATCTGATATCCATGAAGAGAAGAACTCTGAGCAAGATTAGTTATATTCCAGATACTGAAGAGGCTTGTTGCCTTGCACAAAGTATATCCTATGCAAATTCTGATTTTTCTGTGAAGTCAGAAGGCAGGTATACACTTCCTTGGGTTTTTTATACCACACGCTAGAAGGTCTTAATTTTTGGTTTCTTGGTCCAAGTTTACAAGGTCCAAGCTTTCTATACAATATTACATTTTAAAAATTGCTGTTGGTTTTTCGTTTGTTTGTTTTCACATTAAGTGTGCAGACTTGCAGTGGAGATGGAAGGTAGCCTCTCAAGGGAAGCGGTTGGTTTGAATTGGCATGCTGAGCAATTATTCAAGAAAATAAAGTTTGGAAATCAAGGCACCAGTCCTGCAAAAGAATACTGATCAAATATACCTTCAGAGCCCTGTTTTCTGTTGGAACTCTTGTCTCTGCCAGGGTGTATGTTTTTGCAGGATAGAAGGAAGTGTTGATAATCAACATGTCCAAGGGTACTGTACAAATATAATTTGGAAATTAAAGAAAAAATGCAGTTACCCTATTCAATTTGAGAGTCTATACATTGGCTTTTTTTATATTATTCTTTTCTTAATTACTCTAGTTGGTATGCCCATGAAATTCAGGCCCTCTTCTTTCCTGACATTCCCTGTTAAATGGGCGGCTATTTGTAAGTCTATTTTTAACAGTGACAGTACACTACAAAGAGGCATAGCCTCTGTATTTTTTACATTAACTTAAGAGGAAACAAATCTAGATTTTTTTTTTGAAGCCAATGTATTCTGTTTCTCATACAGTGCCTCCTGTGCAATAATCTTTCTGATGTATTTTCCCTTTATGTGTGATTTCCCTCCACACACTATTCTTCATTTAGTCTTGGTGCATTATTTGTGAGAATAGGAACTGCTGCCTCACTGTAGTGTTGACATGACATTACAGAAGTGATACGGCAGTTGCTGTTCGTTATTACTCCCTGAATTTCATGAATGTATAACCTGCTTTATTTCACTTTCAGTTGAAATTTTATCTACGGGTTCTCAGCCAAATTGTGTCCACTTAAAAAAGAAGAGAAATTGGCCAAACCCTTTTGTTTTAAAAGCAGTGATGGATTTTTTTTTTTTTTTTGATTGCTCTGAAATTCAGTTTGTTTCAGGTTAGAGTGAGAAGCGCACATAAGTTATTAAGCTGCATTTTATATGTGCACTGACAAGAAAAGCCCCATTCATATTGAAAGTTTAAATTTTTTCAATTAATCTGAAAGCAGCAACTGAAGGGAGCAGTGAAATTCAGCTACTGAATGTGTTTTTCATACTAGATATTAAAAAGGTCTGTTAAAGAGTTTTGTTTCTGATCATAAAAAAAAGAAGCTCTTGCTATCAAAAAAAGATTGGGCCAAAATATGCAGTTGTTTCACTCTCTCTATTTTCAAGGGACTATGGAGTCGTCGTAAGGTTCTTGCCAGTGTCCTCTACTTTTGTTTTGTCATCCTACTGGCTCTGAAAGAGCCTCTCTAATATCAGGAGTGCTTTTGTACCAATTATACCAATGGAAGTGGGGAGATGAAAGGAACAGTGGTGGCTTTTAAGTTTAACACTGTCACTTTCAAAATATTTACTATTAAAAGTATGAAAAGCAAGGTGAAGCAGCTATACTCATATTATTTAACTGTGCTAGTTCCTTTGAATATCTTATAACCCTGGGCTGCAGTTCCTTGAGCACGATCCTTATCACTGCTAATGGATGCACCGCAGCTACGGCAAACAAGGAGGATTATCTCTCCCTATTGTGCCTGGCGTTGTATCAGGTTTCCAAACAATAAGCGATTTTGGAGATTTATGGCTCAGAGGATTGGTAATGGGATGTTGAGCCTTTTTATCTCCAACTTGTATCGGTTCAAGTCCAGCCTGCTCGAGCAGTGACCCAAAGTTCACGTCTCAGCAGCGTGAGCGAGCAAGTACATCCAACCTTAATACCACGCAGTGCGTGCGGTGGTCACCTCTAGGCAGTAGAGCTTTATAGTGCTTCCTCCAGGTTGTATGTAATGGTGGTGGCATTGTAGCAGGGACAACCTGAGAGCGTGAGTGGGGTGTGCGTGTGAGCTTGCGTGCGTGGTAGTGTCTGCTGGCTCCTGTTGAAGCAAGAAAGATCAGCCGTTGTGATCTTTGAGCTCTCCAGTACGCAGACAGGGCAGATGTTAAGAATTGACTGGCAGGTTTTAAGCATGAATCTTCAGTTTTGTGACATGAGAGCAGAACCTTAAAATTGCTTTCTTTTTTTAAAAAAAAAAAATACTTAGTATTGTTCACTACATTTGTAAGTTGGTCTAAACCAGTGTCCTTCCCCACCGAATTTTTACAGTAATATTTTCTAAGGTAATCTAGAGTATATTTTAGTTGCAGTCTATATTAAGGCAAATTATTTGTTCTGTCTGTTGCTGTGACTGAAGAAAATTATGGAAGACTTTGTTGGTAACAAGAATGCTATTTAATGAAGAAATGTGTAATCCCATTATTTATTGTTTGAGGTTTGTTTTTTGGTTGTTTTTTTTTCAAGTAACTGACATCTAAAGGGAACACACATACATTTCAGGCCAGTAAAAAGCCTTTCTTTTAAATTAATTTTCATCCTATCCTCTCTCTCCTCCTCAAGGTGGAGGGAAGCCCTGTCGCTTTCTGACAATGCTAAGCCATCTCTTGTAACTGGTTTCTCTGACCTTGATTCAGCAAAGTACCGCAGCACATATGTGTCTCTGAACCTACTGATAGTCCCATTCACTATCTTAAGTTATACATGTGCTCGAGTGCGAGTGAAGTATGATTATTCATTGATAATCCTATCCAAATTTCAATAAGGGGAAATTTGGTCTTTTCTATTATTTTAAATATTGTGCACAAATACTTTGAAGAACAAACTGAACTTTGTTTTTCATTCGGACTAGAATGTGGAAGGAGAAGTGCATAATATAAACTTCCTATGTAGCCTAGTTCCATTACTTTGAAATTCACAGTTGAACACTTTTAATAAACCTTAAAAAATTGGCAAGTACACCAAAGAATCAATATGAGTACAAGACTCTGATCATTAACAAACTGCAAACCTCATCCTTTAAAACAAAGCAGAAAGTTTTTGTAAATATTTATGTTTATAAATGTACAGCAGAGTAAGAGTGTTTTTTAGATTATTTAATTACCATATTTCTAAACTATTTACATTATAGACAATACTTGTTAGTTTGAAAAGCTCTTGAGTGTTTTTGTTTTGTTTTGGGTTTGTTTTTGTTTTTTAAAATTCATTATCACTCGTACTTGGAATAACTCTGGCTTCCTCAGGATAGTGTGGAAAAATCAGTTGTTTGGCTCTAGTTTGCAATTGTAGGAGAACACATCTGGACAAACTCATCAGATAAATACCCAGAGGCAAAAGAGAATATATAGTGTGTTTACCAGGGTGGAACTGGGCTAAGCGAAAAAATTGGATCCTAACTTTCTCAGTTAAATCTGTCCAGAGCCCCCAATGACATTGAGACAAGAGCGACTTGCAACCTGCCCACAAGTTTAGCTTCCATGCAACACTGTGTTACCGATATCATAATGTATTTTGTTCTTCCTTTGCAATGTAAGCTTTTGCTTTGGGTCAATTCGAATTTTAAAAGAGAAAAAAAGTTAAACCTGGTTAAAAGCTTTTTTTTTGGTTTATGTTCTGTTTATTTCTAATGTAATGTTTTAATAATATAATACCACTTTACACATTTTCTCTCAATGTTTGTCTATCAGTTCTACTTCTTTTCCCTTCTCCAGTGCACATGATTCTGGTAATGTGTTTGGTACTCAAATTTTCCCCCGCAAATAGGAATTCAGATGTCTCATGAATTGTAATGAGATTTCTACCAGTAAATATGAACATAAAACTTGTCCTAGACCTGGACTTCAGAAGAGGGAACAAACTGGTCTTTAGCTATGAGTAGTTGGGTTTCCCCTGCTCAGATTCCAGAGCAGCCACTTCAGGGTTTTCTGAAAGGTTCACCTTTCTTCCTCAAGTTCATGTACTGAGTAAGATACAAAAATGGACCAAATAGAGGTCATATTTTCCAGTTGAATCTGTTTGGTGTCCATTTACTACTAATAGAAGCTGAATAAGGGGGATTTATATGAATATTCCTGGCACACAAATGGGAACTGGAAGCATTTGGTTTCAGTCATGAGAGTAATGTGCAACTAAAAGTTGCATTAAGGTTTCGGACCCTAAAAATTTGGAGAGGAAGGAGACTAGATTTAAAGACATTACTGCTGAGGGGTAGTAGGGGAAAAAAAATGTTTTCAATTGCTTAGTAGCAAACTATACAAACATCACTGGGAGTATGTATGCTGTACAACCAAGAGTTGTGTTTAGAACTGTTGATGATAGTTACAGACTGGCCAGACTTTGACTGGTGTATTCACCAAATGCTGTGTTAAACACTTTGTTCCTCTTTATGTGTCATATTTCCTGTTTGACTGTTCACTTGTTAAGTTTACAACACTTAATGACTAATGTTACTACTTAAAAAAACCTGATTTGCAAGCTGTTGACAAATGACATGTTTAGAATATACAAACTTTCTATATATTGATCCAAGTGTGCGATAAGGAAGCATACTTATTTTATATGGCAAAACACTTTTTTAACCATAGCGTGTAACAAAACTTTTGTACCTTTGAAAGCAAAAGTAATGAAGCTGATGAAAATGAGCAAAGAACAGGCTCTGCCATGTTTTTTGGCAAACAGCCTGGACCAAAGCATTTAAATTTTCTTTGCTCTAGTCTCTCCCTTCTGCTTTGGTTGGGGCTACCACCACCTCAGAGGTTTTATACTGTTCTTTGAAACTGGAATAGTATTGAAAGGCTAAAATTTGTTCTTTTCCTATATCACTGGCATATTGAATCTCTTCTGTATGATTCTATTTGTTGACTTATGTTATTAGCCAAAGTAAAGCTCAACATGTGATTTAATCCCATGACAATAAGAAACAAACCAGATCTATACATTGCTTTATGAAACCATGCTACCAGGAATCCTTCAGCCAGTGCATTCCCCAAGGATCAACAGTGTGCAGCTGGAACAGCAAAAAGTTGGGATCGAAAGCTGCGTTGACTTTCATTGGGAAATCTCCAGCTGTCTAGTGAAGAATTTGGAACTCCAGCTGTTTCCTCCACATCTGGGATCTCTAGTGCTGCTGACTGTTGTTTGTGAGGTCCCAGGTAAGTTTTGAATGCTGTTAAAGCTTGCCTTCATGTTTACAAGAAGCGTGTTCGATACAACTACAGAGGGTGCTTGTAAAACGTCTCCAAACATTTCTGTGCCTTCTCTGAACTTGCCAGGTTTTTCTGTGTAGTGGAATTTGTGCAGTCTTATAGCAAGTGCGTTTGAGAGCAAGGGGTGCTACAGAGAGCAAGTATTTCCCAGACTTTGGCTTGATCTGTTTCAATGTTTTGCAGACCCCTCAGCATCCAGGAAATATTCATAAGAGGTCTGGGAAAGGTGACTGAAAGTCAAGCTTGTAGACAGTAGGTTATACAAGAGTAAATGCCTTTAAGGGAAAATGTAATTGTGTAAACAGCTGATGTACAGCAAAGAGCATCTGTTCTTTAAGGTCCACAAAATTGGCCATAACTCCTCTGTTCTGTCGTGCAAAAATAGTTTATTTGCCATCTCCGTACTCTCCAAATATATCAGAAGATCATCTCCTCCTGTTCTGTCACAAGTAACTAAGGGTTAATAGAAGCAGTATACTAAATTCTGTCCTCATTTCTGACTTATACCATTGTAACACCACTGAAGGTGGTGATTACCCAACATTTAATCTAGTGTGAAAGAGCAAATAATTGATTTGGATGGCCAGCTTGCAGTCCTGCTCCATGCTTTATGGCCTAATGAGGAGAGTATTTTTGGAAACTATTTGCAAAACACTTGGTGAAAAAGCGCTAAGAGAGATTCAGTAGTTGGGGCCAAATTTATAATCCAACAGTAGACAATAACTTTTTTTTTCCCCTAAAAACATGGCCTGTTTTGATAGAGTTGCTTAAATGCCTTGATGCCTAGTCCTGAGGTGGTGAGAGACATTTCAGTTTGATTGTCTGTTTTGTATCTTGAGAAACTTAACGTATCTGCTTATTCTCTAATACAGCAGATTAGTTAAAATGGATCTGCAATGAAATGTAAACCCAATTTATTTTAAAGACTTAATTAATTTTAAAGCCATTATGATTAAATTTTATATACTTCAGTGTAACAGCAGGTTCTTCTGTTCTTTGCTGAATGGATGCTTGCTTGTAGCCAGCGGTCTGCGTTCACAATGTGTTTAAAAAATACTAGGCTGCAAATTTGAGTAGCATCTTGTTGGCTGAAACAGTTAGAGCTGCCCTTGTCACTGATATGCCCAAGCCTAAAGTTAGGCCATGTCTGTCCTGTTCAGCTACAAGCCAATTCTGTGTGATGTTTAGGTTCTCATCTGTTACTACCTGACTATAGCATTTGCATGGGGTAATAGAGATTTAGATTCAGCTTCATCTAGTGTTTGGTTTTTAAACCTCACAGAGTGCCCAGCTGCTGGACATGGGTTATAGAAATGTGATTTCCAAGATATGCATGCCTCAAGCAGCTCAACTTGAGATCCATCCCCTATCTGGATATTGCTTAACTAGTAATGGGTTTTAATATAGCTGTTAGGAAGCAAAACCAAATAATTTTTAAAGAGCAGTCAGTCTGAAAATGAAGTGACTGGGATGTTTGGTAGGAGGATGAAGTTGAGATGTGGATTGTGTGAGAGAGAGAGCAGAAAATGTGGCTTTTGATCTTACAGAAATGTTTGGTATGTGGGTTCTTGGGCTCAGAAGTTTGAATGTCCTTAATATAAAATAATCTGCATGAGTATTTGAGTCTGTTCCTTTTATACTTTGTGTGAACTATTTAATGGTTAGTGAGCCGGAAAGAAATCACTGTGTTTGCTGATGGTTCAGGCACCCTCCTGATGAGTGGAAGATTTGAATTAAAGTTCCCACTCTGAACCAGGCAAAGCAATTAAGGATGGGGATTTGCACTTGCATTCCCACCTTTTAGTGCTGTGATTACAGTTTTATGAAATTGTGCCACAGAGAGAGCATAAAAAAAATGTTACACAATCTCTGAGATTGACCCTGAAAAATCATTCAAAGCAGGTACCCAGCTGGAGTTCACCCTTACGTCTCTTGCACATATGAACAAACAACTGGTGCTTGTGGAGTTTTTTTGTCCCTATTTATCTGTAATCTACCTGGAAAAAAATAACTGGGATGTCTTCTGGTTCCCGGAGCCCCTTACCTTGAGCTCCAGTGGTGTTTGTATTTATGGACACCCACCTGCTTCCAGCTCTAGTCTTTGAGATCAGTGCTGACTTTCTCTTCCTCTTCACAACCTGTTCTCCGCACCAGGTCACTGAGGAGGGCAGGGGATGACACCTTCCTCATGCTGAAGGAGGCTGCCCTAGCAGGTGG